CCCAGCAGAGCGCAATTACCTCACTCAGCAGAACATTATGCAGCGTCGATGGCAGCTGAGGAGCCCATCCACCTGAGCCAGGTGCTGCCATTCGTTGCTCTCCTTGGCATGGCGAAGGGCTATGGCCCACCCCTGTCAGGGCTTAACCCCCCAAGCCGCCCCCTCTCTGTCTGTTTGGGCCTGAGGGTCGCTGGGGCTTAAACAACAATCAGGCTGCACTTTGGGCCACAAAACCATGCACTACCGGCTTTCCACGGTCACCGGCTGCACTAGAGAATGCAGCTTCTCAGCATGTCCCAAGTGAGACACAAACCAAGGGTTTCCCTGACATGGCTCCACGGCGTAACGAGAACAGTTGGTGCAGGGTCTCCACTAAAAATAAATCCAGACAATAGTGTCCTGCTAACCGGGGAACCATGTTGCCTTTCTGGGGAAGTGCTCTGGCCCAGCTTAGGCAGGACGGCAGACCGGATGGTCTCTGTTTGGGCGTGGCAAGCAGGAACTTAATTTTAGGGCCATATTTTCTATGGGACCTCACCCTGTTTGTGCCACTGAGAGTCACTTCGGTGAGCAACCCTCTGACTCGAGCATTTCTGTGGGGAAGTTACACACGCACAAACACCCCTGTAAACACACACGTGGCGTTCACACTTGTAGGCTGTCCTCATTGCATGCACAGGTGATAGTGAACCCACAGAAGGCGGCTCAAAATTTGGCCATTTTAAGTACGTTGAAGTTAATTCACAATCTCAAGGTGTTAATAAAAGCCAACAGCTACACATGCCGCTTTACAGTACTTGTATCCAGCTAGACAGCCACAGGTTTGATTCACGGGTCCTTGCAGAACAGCGACGGTCAAAACCAATGTTCGAGGGGCGAGTGGTATGGTTTTGCTTACTATAGCACATGACTCTACACCTCAGTGATAAGAATTAAAACTGACTGACAAAGAGCACGTTCCCTTAATTTTAACATTCAATAGTTCACAAAGTTGACTGAATTAGCCATTTCCATTGCATGATTTGCAATTTCTTTCTCCACTGCTTTTTGCTGCATTTGTGCCTGTAAATAGCTAAACATAAATACCAGACTATAAAAGATTTGTCTCCCTGACTTTGACTTTTGGAGTAGCAGTAATGGATGACGAATGTCACATAGCAGGTAAGGGCCTTTTCTGCCAACTAGCAACGCACGGAAATGCATTTCTACAGCTCTTCCAGGAGGGGTTTCATTCCCATTTCATCTGATGGAACAAGCTCAAAGTTTAGAAATTTGAGACCTTTAATGCAACATACGAATGACAAAATATAGAATTATCCGCCTTAGTGTTTATTCCTAAACTATACATTAAGGCTCAGAGAGAAAAGATTTGGATACAAAAAGAAAGAGGAGTTCTAACAGGTTCAGCTGTAAGTCAATCTCACCGCAAGGCAGTACAACACGGAGAAAATATTTGGTCTCCCCAGCAGAAATCAGTTTGTGATGCAGATTTTTGTAGGAGGTTTTTCTTCATTCTTACATGCAGAATCCTGCCAAGCATTCTTAGCATAGCCATATGCACCCACTTGATACAAAACTGAGGGAAACAGGTTCACAGGGCTCTTATCTTTTAACAACATACAGAAATTCATAAAAAGACATTTCTGGGGAACCAAAATGAAAACAGAAGGGCAGCTACAATTCTCGCTCCCCTCTGATCTATGGCACCCAACTCTTTTGAGATGGGCAAGTGTGGAACAGTTACAAATCCCAGTACAAATCAAGTCTTCATTTTTATTTATAAAACACTTAGTGCTTCGACAAAAGAAAATGTAAAGTTATTTCTCAATCCTCAGGTGAAAAGCCTCAGAGACGAAGCAGAAACCCAGCCCAAGGAGCAGGAAGTTCTCTGCTGATTCAGCCACTCGTAATTACTGGAGCCCCCAGCTCCAAGAAGAAAGACTCCCGGCCTTCCACTCCAGAACAGCTCCCGGGGGTTTCAAAATGCAAAGCTTCCCGGAGGTGAATAACTTCCAACGAAACGTCTTCAAAGTAGAAAAATGCAGCTGCTAAATGTGCTTGAAAAAAGCCAGAGCTGGCTGAATAAACATTTCTTCCAGCGCCCACACTAGGACGGGACTGTGCCGCTCTCCCTGGATGCAAACAACGTCAGAACAGGCTGTAGCTTAACTCTACCCCTCAAAAGAACTGTGCAAGAGAGAACCCCTACACCTTTATTCATAGTAAAAACGGATACATTTCAGTTTGATCATGTCACAAGCAGTACCTGTGTGCGCGTGGGTGGATATAACTGACGTTTAGACTTTCTCTCGACTAGGCTGTGAAATCATTTGTAACCACAACTTTCCTTGTGATTGCACCGAATACAGTTCTTCCATGATGCCAGCCTACATGCTCCTCACTTCTAAATCACAGGAATTAGAAGTGTCACAGCCCTCCTTCCGGCTGATATGGCTCTTTGTTTTGTCATTAGGGAGACTTCCCGTCACCAAAGTGGGGTCATTGGGAGAAACTGTGTATTCCTGATTCTCTTCCGTGGCTGCTTCTGGCTGTTGGCAGCAAGAACTCTGTCCTTTGGCTCCCACCTGTCTCAGGCTGTTGGGAGCTTCTCCTCCTTTGCATTGAGCAGACAGGTTTTTGCTCTAGGCTAGACATTACTGCTGTCCTGATTTCTTCTCCTTCTGGAAGCTAAAGCTTGTTCTCCTGCTCAGCTTTCTTTGTTTCTGAGCAAAATAATCTGCTCTGGCTGTGCTGGCTCGCGATTCTAGAATATAGTTAACCTGGAAAACACACACAGTCTAATTTCAGTCCCATTCTGGAGGAACAGCCTGAAAAGACGCAAGGCTTCACCTCCCTGCTCAATGACTCCCTCCTAAAAGCATTCCCAGAACGACGCCAATGAAAAGAACATTCGAACCCCATAGACAGGAGACTGCTCTTCTCATTGTGCCTTTGCTAACCCTCCGTTCTTCTCACCTTACAAGAATGGCCGGGTCCTATTGCTGCTTCCAGCTTTACCGAGTTTGGCTTATGAACACAAATATGCAGAACTCAAAGATGCTTTAAACAAAATACCTCATGTAACCTATTGATTTTAATGTTCCAATCAGCGGCGTCTGTACATCCTAGTTTGGCGCATGTATCATTCTTGTATGTAAAGTTAGAAATATGTTTTTTAAATGTGCTAAGGAGAGCCATTGATGGTGCACTCTGCCACCCCCTTGCTCAGCCTTAAAGACTTGGTGATCAACTTAACTTGTAAGCAGCCTTGCTTGTCCTGTGAGTCCAAAGGTGACTGGACGAGCAAGACATGAGACCATACCACCTGGTACTGGGATGCTCGCTTGGCCCAGGTATTGTTCCATGGAAAGGGAATGAAGAACAAGAGATTCCCGCCCTGGGGAAAAAACTATTTAAGTAAGGAGAAGTTATCAGCCCTTTGTCTTTGGTGGGTGTGACACATTCCAAAGAGGGCTGGGGACCCAGGTCAAGATAAAAGAGGTTGTCTTTGATTGAAGATTATGCCTAGAACAAGAACAGCTCTTTACAGTAAGGATCTGCTTGCAATAAGTTTTTTTAGTGAATCAGAACTAGCTATGTGTTTTCTTTTCATTTTAACTTAGTAACTTACTTTGATCTGTCTGTTTTCACTTGCAGCCACTTAAATCCTCCTGTCTGTACTTGAACATCCTCATGAGCTTTCCTTGTGTCAAACTCTTACTCAGAGAGATTTATATGGGGTTTTGAGGGTTGGTTTTCTGGGTGCTATGCCCTAGAATTTCATTCCTCACAGAGCTAAAGTGGTTCAATGTCTGCCTTGCTCATCGGGGGAGGTTACACCAACTCTGTGCCTTGTCGGGGGGAGACCAGAGGATCTGGCCCAGCAGAACAGATGGTGAGCAGTCCCAGAGAGCAGGAACGTGGGTGTTAGTGGCATGATCAGCACATTGGGGAACAAACCCCAGGGGCCTTTTATGACCGCAGCCCATCACACCCTATAGACAGAAGAATACGCATGTCACGTTTGCTGACCCTCTGTTCCTGTCACTTTTCAGGAATGGCCGTGTCATGCTACTGGCTGTAGTGTCCATCATCCCTGGAAGTGACAACTACACGAGATAAAATGAACATGCGCAGTTTCACAGCACTTGACCCTATTGTGCTGCCACTTGTTAGCCAAATTGCCAGATGAAGGCAGTAAGTCACAAAAGACCCACAGAGCTGGTCTCAGACATTAATAGGCTTCAATAAAAGGTTTTATCAGCTTTAATACAAAACATTCTCTCTTTATGATGTTTGCATACTCAGCTAATCTTATACTTTCCATGTATTCTAGTATCTATTACTTGATGAAAGCATTTTAAAATGATATTTAACAAGCCCACTATTCACTAAATTTATTATCTCCAGTGCTTTCTGATAATCACATAGATAATTTTAATGGAAGGTTAATGCAAGAATCAAAAGATAAAAATGCCCTTTGGTCTGCCATTAGCTGGTTAATACGCTGTGGCTTAAAACTTGCACAATTTTATGCACTGTAGAGTGTTTCACTTTCATTGCATATTACAGCTTAAGGCATAAAAATATAGTGAGTTTTCATGGTCAATAAAGCCTCAGTCTTTGTCACTTGATCACGTGAAGAAACTAATTTGAAAAGTCTGATTTCTCTGCATCTTCTAACACAGAATAAGAAAGAAAGGCAGGCTTAACCTGGAAATCCATGGAACAGGAAAATACTCTATAAAAAAGTTACAACCCGGGTACAGAAAGGTTACCTATTCCTGCGTTCAATACGATATGCATCCTTTATATTCATTTTAACCATATCAAGCCTGTCCTTTTAGCCATCCAAAAAGTATTTGAATACTCCTGGATATATCAAGAGTTCTCTAGTGGAACTGTTCAACTGAAGACACACAGTGATAAAAATTCAAAAGCAAAAGTTTACAAATGTACTGCAAAAATAGTTGAACCAACAATTTAGGGTATTAACTAAAATGCTCCATCACATACATGTCAGTTATTTAGCCCTTCCAAAGCCTTTACACAGAAAATAGCATTAACTATAGGGAGTGGCATATAAAAGTTATAACAATTTTAAATTGCTATAAAAATAATTGACTGCAGAAAATTAAGTTTAATCTGCCAACAGTATAATCTTCAAACGGCGGTTTGTTTTGGAAAGTAAATCAACCTGCTCATGTAGCAAGTCATTCTAAAAGCAAACAGTTATGATAAAATATACTTAAAACAAAATATTGGGGTGGAAAAATGTGTTTTCTTTGTATGGAGACATGCAATTGGGAAAGCATTTGTTAGGTGAACAAGGAGAGACGTTTGTCTTGACAGAATTACAACCCTCTGGCTTCATCCTGTGTTGAAGTCAGAAACTTGGAATCAATCTGTGACTATGAACATTATTTTAATGTCAAAGACAGACATAATCCTACAAGAGTCTTCATGAAATCTTTGAATAATACTACCTCTGGCTAGTAAGAAAAGCCCTAAGTGCAGCGGAATTTGTTTAAATATTCCCCAGTGCTACTTAGAGGAAGTTCCTGAGAAACTCCAGGAAGCTAGCTGAAGTAACTATTAAATAAGTTTTCTGCTTTCAGTAATACTAGGGCCCTCTCTCCTATCTGGCAGGCATATACAGCAGGCAGTTTAAAGAGTGCTGCTCCCAAGCAACCGTCCCGCTCTGTATTAAACTAAGCCACGCCTGCTGGGAAGTTGGTGCCTATTGCTCGGTGAGTTATTTGCAGGTGTAATTTGCGATTGCCCTCTATTGGATGAATCATTTGCTGCGTGGGCTCAGTTACACCCCCTGTAAACGGAGAGAATTTAGCAACCTGACTGCAGGGCGGGAAAGCTGAGTTCAACATTCACAAGGCCCTTGTCGATTCTCAGACAGACCTCTGCACATCTGCTGCACCCGAGTGACCATCTGCTGACGTGCTTGAAGGGCGAGCTTGCTGACAGCCCTAAAGCCTGCATGCATGGGCTAGGCCACTGGTCACCCAGCCATCCGGAGGCACTTTTCATGGGAATGCAGTGGCCCTAACACAGGGCTGGACAAGAGGGCCGAATTCGGCTTGCCTAGCTCTTTCACTTGGCCCGCAGCAGCTCCGCCCCCACCCCTTAACGTGTTGCCGGGCAGCCGCTGGGGAGGCATGAGCCCTTTCAGCTCCTGCTATTTAAAGGCCCCGCCCCTTTTGTCCAAGGCCCTGCCCTTGTGACCACTTCCAAAACTGATGAAGGGGCCCTCCTTCAGTCATTATTGCCCACTCTGCCCTACCACCACCACTCAGTCCTGCTACGTCTGGTTTGTGCTGGGCTGGGGCAGAGCCGAGTCCCCCCGCGCATGAGGGACAAAGCTCTTGTCCTAGTTCCCTCTATTCCCATCCCCACAGCTCCCAGCACTGCGAGAGGGACAGGAGTCTGACCGGGAATCTCTCTGCTGCTGGGCCCCCGGAGGTCTCTTACACACCGTTACCGCCCCCGCCAGGCTTGCCCTGAGCAGACCGTGGCCACACAGGACGAGCTGCCTCTGAGGAAGGGAACATTGCAAGGGCCTGGTAGGTATTTTTTTAAAGTAGCCTTTGGGCACAAGACTGCCCCTGAGCGGATTTAACCCTGGCCAGCCTGTGCAGCACAGCACTAGTGGGGAAACATGAAGCCAGGTCACGCTGCTACCAGCCGACATATTGGCTAATGGATGTGAGGCGGCTGTGGGATGCAAACAGTTAACGTTTAGCAGGCCCAGAGCGCACCCTAGTTCGTAAAACTCCATCGAGGACAGAGGAACCTCAGGATTGAAAACAGGGCACGTGCATCTGGGATGGGCCAGTTTCTTAAGGGTTAATGTACATCTTAACTGTTTAAACATACGCCACAAATCTAAAGGTAAACTACCTGACAGCACAAATCTGGTGGGTTCCAATTCCACAGAGAACTGACATCTTCCAGACTATTAGCGACACCAGTGTTTATAGGAAAATGCATTCTAGACACACTGAGCCTGCTGTCGGGTTGTCTGAAAAATGGATCCAATATACAACGTCCAGAAAATTCAGTGGTAACCAAATAAAAGCCTCTCAGCTTCGCATTATCCACACTGAGAACCTTCTGACTAGTTTCAGTTTTCAGGTCTAACAAACGATAAAACATCTAGCCCGCTGGATTATATTGCATTTTAATACCCACCTTCAGGACAATTTCATTGATGGTAGCAGCATCGGATTCAAAGTAGAGGTGTTTGTAGTCGTGATTGCTTAGATATGTAAGTTTAAATATTGCATGACCTGAAAAGATGAAAAAGAAACAGTGTTCACAAGACTCCGCCAAAGTTTCAGTGGCACTCGTGTGCGTGGCAGAAGACAAACACAGATGGTGATCTGAGCCTACCATCCGCACGACAGAAGGAAGCAATGAAAGGCTGACAGGCTTCTCATGTCATTTCAATTTAAGGCAAGTGGTGGTTTACAGGAGCTGCTGAACTCCTCTCAATAAAGTTCATTTCCCCACTGTAGGAAATGCAAAAATCTATCAAATGGCTAGTTAGGTCCCATTCAGCCCTAGACGATATTTCAGTTAAACTACCCCATTAGAACTCCTTTATGAAACTATCCACTGGATAATCATCGCATGCAGAAGATAAGTGTTATATTTAAGATAAAAGGCCAATTAACCCCAGAATTATCACTGTAAAAATAAAAACCCAGCTGCTTAAGACAGCATAAAACAGTATTGCAATTTTCAAGACAAAAAAATTCTGTAGCAGTGATGTGGCTAGGCAGCTCTTACCAGTTACAAACCGCGCTCTTTATTCTAGGATAGCTGAAATCAAAATTTAGTCGGGCTTCTTATTTATGTGCCATTTAACTGACAAGCCTAGCCCCTGTTCAGGGAAGGAAAATCATTTTAGTGATTAAATTGGCAACATTCTGGTTGCCGGTGGCACACTCTGTGGCTAGTCTAGTTGAATGGCAAGGAAGCCGGTGACCTTTACATGAATGTGAACAGGACAGATGTCCTAATTTTAACAAAGAACCATGGCAGGACTCACAGGAGGGCAAAATGTCCTTTCCCATGTGAACATGAACGGTTTCAAAATGAGCACTCAGTACATTCTGCATGTAAGCTTTTTCATCAGTTTTCATTTAATTTATTCAGGTCAAAGTTACTAATCCATAAAGCAACAGCCACATTACTGTAAATTCACCTCTTTCCCGGAGGCAGCCTTATTTGCAATCTTATTTACATTATCTAATTCTTCAGATCTTCAAAAATCAACTGATATATGCTCAGAAACGATGGCTAACACATTTGAGACCTCAGTATTTTATCATGGCATGTTCATTAAGCCCCATTATGATGCACTAATCATGAATATAAATTCTCTATTGAAAAATTGGCTAATAATTAAAAAAAACTTTAAATCATTTGACAAACGAAGCTTTGGTGGGATTAAAAATGCCAGAAGTCTCAGCTACAGGCTAATCAGTATGTTAATGCATTCATGGCTGGTTACGGTGAAGGAGGGAATTCAGCATCTTTCAACTTTCTAGGAGCTCAACGCCACACGCACTATTCCTGGAGACACGAAGTAACTTTGTAAAGGATCGATGTTCATGGCTTGGTCGGTACCCAGTGCTGTTACACGCTGGAGTTTTACTATATGGCAGAAACTACGGGCCAAGGATCCACAATCTCTATTCGCTGCTGGTAACTACTGGCTGCTGTTCTTCCCAGGTGCAGGGAATGCACAAAGGGAAACTGGCCCTACCCAGACTGCCTCTTTGCTAATCCCACCTGGAACGTCTCCTTTTAGGTTTGCCTCGCTCCTGCCAATGGTCCCTTCTCCCAGGCCACAGGCTGTGACCCTGGAGCCGGACCATTCTGGGATGTTCGAAGCACCTCTGAAGAGCTCTCAAATACACACCACAGATGAGTACTCAGGCCCGTGCTGCAGCTGGCGAAGCTGCATGCCAGGGACTGGGTGATGCACTGGGAACCAGAGAATGTGGTCTGACACTGGGGCTTTTCAGGGCAGAGACGGTCTTGGGTTGTGTGTGTATGTGTCCTGCTCAGCGGGGCTCCTATTTTGGTTGGGACCTACAGGCACCCTGGCAGCATAAATATTACTAAGAACAGCAGGGAGCTGTAATGTAGCCAAACCTGCACTGACTCTTCCCTAGCTCATCACACAGTCCCCGGGCACAAACCAAAGCTCCCATGGTCAGGGGAGGGCCTGAACACAGTGCACTAGGGAAGAGTCAGTGCAGGTGGTTCTGCTGGGCAGAAAGCAGCAGCCCGCCTGAGGGAAGTCAGGAGGTTGAGGATGGATCAAGTAAATGCAACTCCAGGCCTCCCTCTAGTTGCATCCCAGGCTGCATGAAGATACATAGGAAGAGTGTGGGTGACGAAGCCCAGGTCTACACCTGCCCTGAGATCGACACTCCGGAGATTGATCTTCCAGGGTTCGATTTAGCGGGTCTAGTAAAGACCCGCTAAATCAACCGCTGATGATGGCCCCGTCAACCCTGGTTTTCCATGGGGTTGCAAGGAGTAAGGGAAGTTGACAGGAGAGTTTTTCCCTTTGACCTCCTACAGTGGGGACGCTGCAAAAATTCGATGCAAGGTACGTTGAAACCGGCTATTCTAGTCACATAGCTGGAGTTGTGTATCTCCAGTCGACTTTCTCGCGTAGTGGAGACGAGCTTTACCCTGTCTCCAGCTCAAGTTACCTGTGCTCCTTTCACCGGCTTATGGTCTTTTCCTCCTGTTTTCCTTTCAAAATACACGTGAATATGCGCAATGGACCCAGCAGCACAAAATGAACACACGGCATCTCTCCTCTCTCGCATATGCGTCCATCTCTTCAATGAGAAGCAGCAGCACTAAATTGCTACTTCAGCTTTGTACTGTAGAGGCGTAAAGTACAATAGAGGTTCTCTGCCTGTTCAAGAACTCCTCCTAAACAGGAAGAGCCAGGACTACCACATTTGGGAGCAGCTTCCTTGTAGCATAACTTAAAGCAAGTTCGGGGTTTGGTTGTGCCAGGACAATGGGATGTGCCTGGAATGGGACTGGTTCTCAAAAAACCAAACAGAAAAGAGACAGAATCACGAGGCAGGAGAAAGGGGGGTTGGCTGGGGCCCCGGCACTGGGCCTCCCATCCCCCAGGGGCCCTTTTAAAAGGCCTGGGGGGCCCTGAACCTCCTTCTCCAATTAATAAGGGAGCATTGCTGGCTATTCCCCTTTCTCAGGGAGCGAGGGGAAAGTGCCCAGTTTGCTGCATTCCTCACTCTGGCTAGGGAGCTCAGGGGGCAGACGAAGCTGAACCTGCCCCAGCCAGGGGACATGTACTCCTCACCTGGCTGTGCCAGCTGGAGCTGCAGCAGCCATGGAGAGGCGCTTCTCACCTGGTCCCAAGCTGCTGCAGTATGAGAGGGCTGGCGTTGTCCTCTCCCACCAGGGCAGCCTGCACCTGAACCTTCCTCCCCAGTCCCAACTCAGAGCAGTGATTTCAATAAAGCACGGTCATCTTCATTTTATTTTCCAAAAAACCAAAAAGTAACCGTGCTAAAAACTGAGCTCCGCCGGGCAAGTCTCCTCTCTAAATAAGCGAGAACACAGACTTGCCTGAAATACAGAAAACAGGCCAGAGTCACGGGAAAACCTTCCCAGCACCATCACCTCTTGTGTAACCCTGTGATTTATTCCTTCTTCTCAGCTGCAGTATTTATACAGCTGACAGAAGCAGAACATAGAACTTTATTTCAAGCACTTATTTTGGGATTTTAAAGAGTCAGCCTTTTCAATGACAATTACAGAGCAACACATGTCAACAACACTGTTATTGTGCTGTGGGACAGGAGGCAGAGTTCAATTGATCACCGCAGAGAGGACTGGCCTCAAGTCTTCCTAGAGGAGAGATCTTGCTTCCGCGCCCAACATCACCTTGTTTTGATACTAGCTGCACTGAGCTAAGGTGGACACAAGTAATTGGTTACCCTGAGAACAAAAAGTTTATGGTGCGGCGTGAAGGACTCCTGAAAACACCGCACAAGAACTGAGCATCTCCATAAAAAGGAGGAAGAAAGCCCAGCACAAAATCTGATGGGCCGCATCGAAAGAACACAAACCAGAACCATCTGCTGGTGAGACCAACTGAACTAACCTGCAGCTTATTCCATGCGGCCCTGCTCCCCTAGAGCAGCCGGCTGGAGCATTTGCAGGTGCTGCACATTGTGTTCACGCTCCATCAGGTAGGGCTGCAGCCGAATTTCCTGCTTCACAAAGCATGCGCCAATTGAGACATCACTAATTTCAGAAAGAGAAATACCACAGGCTCAGGCCCCTAAAATAAACCCTTGTAGTGTGGGGCTCTCTCTAGTGAATAAAATGGGACCCTAATTTTCTCTCCAAATATTAGTATAAACGCTTAATGGCTGGTTTGTAGAAAAGTATTTGTATAATCAGCAATAAGAACATAAGAACGGCCATACTGGGTCAGACCAACGGTCCATCTAGCCCAGTGTCCTGTCTGCCCTCAGTGGCCAATGCCAGGTGCCCCAGAGGGAGGGAACACAACAGGTAATCCACACGTGATCCCTCTCCTGTCACCCATTTCCAGACAAACAGAGGCCAGGGACACCATTCCTGCCCATCATGGCTAATAGCCATCAATGGACCTAACCTCCATGAATCTATCTAGCTCTTTTTTGAACCCTGTGAAAGTCCTAGCCTTCACCACATCCTGTGGCAAGGAGTTCCCCAGGTGGACTGTGTGCTGAGTGAAGAAAAATTTCCTTTTGTTTGTTATAAGACCCCTAGTTCTTATATTGTGGGAATAAGTAAATAACTTTTCCTTATTCACTAGAAGCAATGCCATGGGTTTAGCTACTTCTGATAGGTGACTCAGAGCACAATGGCCCCAAAGGCAGTTCTTAAAGTCACATTACTGCATTAAGCTTAGGTGCATCCATGTCCACATTATACTGTTTACTACGTGAAATATTAGTTCACTAAAATAAGCAACTGCCACTTTGTTTTGTTACTATTCTGGCCAGATGGAATCTATGAATTTTGGAAATGGAAATCAATCCATCCCTCACAAGTACAGGTTGAACCTCTCTAGTCTGGCAACACCCATGGTCCGGCATGATTTCAGTTAGCCAGATGTCTGCTCAGCAGAGGTGTGGCCAAGTTTCCCGCAGGCCCATAAAGTTTGTTGACAGCCCCCAGTCCTGGCTCTCAGTGCTCTGTGCTGCTATTTAGCTCCAATTTACCCCTCAAT